TCTTTTGTTGTGGGTTATGTAAGAAACCAGACCGGGGACTAAAGACAAGGACTTTTCGCCCTGCTCTGCGGGAAATAGACACCGGTTTACTGGCACTCATCGCAGCTTTATGGCATAGAGATTGTTTTAGAGCATGAGATCAATTTCAACGGCTTTGATATTGACGTTGAAATTAACTCGGCATGGGATTAGCGACTCGTTGTGACTTGTTACGGTTCAGAAAGAAACAGATTATATGAGTTTGTGATTAGGAACAACGTTCCGAAATAGCACAAGCGTTTAGGACCACTTTTCGTTTTTCAAAGTATGCACACAGTATATTTTTCATACGTTGCTGAAAATTTTCAGAGGAACATGTTTGTTGTTAAAAATGCAGGGTAGAATTTTATCGATGCACAAACTTTGACGGAAAATGTATCCAATAATATGTAATTATATGTTTAATTTAGTTGTAATCCAGGTTAATAACACACTCCAAAATAAATTTGCAAGTTAAACACTTAGAAATGAAGAAAACATATACCTCACAAAGAGTATAAAACACTGGGAAGGTAAAATTATTTTGATATCTGTTTTCAAAGCGATTCAAAAGCGCTAAATAATTATATTCTTCATGTTAGATAGAAGATTCAACACACAAAACATTAAACAAACACAATTAGGGCATCTAAATAAACTTGCTGTCATCACTAAATAGATATATGTCACTAATTAGTTTCAACGGCGAAATTAGCACTAATCCTTATCAAGATGAAAGGACTGAATGAAAGATCCTAAAAATACATATCATTTATTGTGAAAACACTATTCTCTAAGATGCGTTAACAGGGTCTACGGCACGAGCTAAATTAATCGATACTGGTCGGTTGGATGACGTAATTCACAGCGGGCGCTCTCATTGGTCAACCTGGACAACCGGCGACGAATCAGCGGGGTGCTCTTCGTTCTTGTACAATCTGATTGGCTGGAACCATCTGTCAAAGAATGTAGCGATGTTTTGGTAACTGAGTGAACACTTGTCACATCGGGTGTATAAAGCATTGCACGTGAAGCTCGCAGATCAAAAGTGATGAGTCTGAAATAGACAACAGCACGTGGAGTTTTATCGGAACATACATCTAAACAGGAGGGTCGGACAGTTGTGTCATCAGAAATAATATTTTGTGGATTTCACATCGTGACAATGTCGGACATGTCCATGGATATGATGTCATCTGATTATGAAGATGATTCGTTTTCACCAAGTTCCCATGAAAAACACTTACACGTAAAACTAATGAAGGTAAGTTATCCTTTTTCAATTTCATGTTTTCATATTTGTTTCAGATGATCACCTTTCGCATATGTAAGTATATTTCGGATGGCGGATGTAAAAGGTATCTGGAGAATGATGTATATTACCAATAGTTTAACATAGAACTTATATTTCATCATTATATTTCACTAAAAAGGGGGTGTCCCAACGATAGTAATCTACTTTTACTTAAAAATCTATATTTAGAATTTTCTCACGCAAAGGCGCATTGAAAAGAGTAGTATCCGAAAAATGTATACGCCCTCGAATTTCATGTTACCAAGTAATAGAACAAAATTAAAATAAATTTCACCCACATTTTTAAACATTATATTAAGCAGACAGGGTGCAGGTATGGCCAGGTGTTTTGTTTAAAAGGTTTGATTTTAGTTGACAATCTGTCAGAAAGTACTCCAAACTGCCAATTAAAATAATTATAAGCGTTCTGCTGTCAAGTACACTGTGAGAGATAAAACACTTGTATATGACAATGTAAAGTTCGTGGTGTTTTCCTCTTTTTAGGGTCCTTCAGAGATAAAGAATTCTGTAAAACGCGGTATACCTAACACAACGCATAATTTGCGTCTATTGAAATGAGCATCGGTATATTGCACCGTCAAAGACAACAATTCTGAAATGTACATGAAAGAAATCACTTGTGACGAGTGTTGATTTTTAACAAACACGTGTCAATTTTCAAGGCCCATTGCACATTAATGAAAATTTGTCAACGAGGTTTAAAGAACGCGCAATTGGTTTTATTCCCTGTCGTTGTGAAATGTTTTTACAGTTAACTGGATAGAACTGATTGAATTAAGTCCCTCTGTTGCGAGCACGTGAAGTGTCCATTAAACACGCTTCGGTGAATCTTGATGACATTCGCTCTTGACTACAGGATGTCACCCGTGACGAGAATTAAAGCTTTCATCTCACATTTTCCGCTTGTGCTTTGGAAAAATACAAATTTTATCAGCCGAAAAATATCCCGTAAAATACATTTTTGTCAGTTTAGAATGAGACATGAAATATATCAACTTTCCTACCAATGTACTAAATATTACGACCTTATATGAAATATAGTTTTTTAAAATTAATACGCAATAGCTGTAGCGCAGGAAATTTATTTGATGTAAATTAAATGATGAAATATCATTCATAATTTTAATATTCATATAAAGTTGATATCCTTATTTCGTACAATACAAACATACAAACCATTATCGCGGGCATTGAACACTTATTAAAATGTCTGAACAGTTCGGCAACATATTGAATAGTAAATATGAAATCTCGCTATAATAACAGTCATATACAATATGTACAAATCGCGTGTTTAAAGTTTACCATTTTCCCGACATTTTCCGGTATTGTTATGTTTAGTCGAACTGACAGCCTGACTGAAAATAAATTCTGTCCAAGTATAGTCGACACGTACTTCACGACTGTGGAGTCTCGACGTCGAGTTTTTATGTCCTCTCTATCCTGTGGTTAAGTGATATCGCAAACCTTCAATACAAACCTGGCTTCTTTTTCTAGAATCATAGAAATAAAGATCACGGTGTTCGAGTGGACCCCATTTCCTAGTTTTACAAGACTTCCGTTAGAACGACGCAGGGAAAATCTAATAAAAGGGCTGCTATGTTCGCCATAGAGAACTTTCACGCCCAACCGCGCGGAATTTTCGTGTCGAACTTGTCTTGGGAAAACGAATTTTCACAATTTTACGTAGCTCAGCTTTCCAAGCATTCAGCGCATGCTCGAATCTCAAAGACCGTCTTAACGTGATTTTCTTACTCGTCTTCTAAGACTAGGAAGTAATTTCAAGCAATACGGAAGTTCTCTTTCTTGGCCCGACTCACCGGAAGCAGGGTATACAGCGCGACTTCTGAGCGCGCGTGTAACCTTACTGGGTGCATTTCGTTTTCACTTAGGTTATTTCCTTCTTAAATGAAATGCACATAACCCCTGTCGTTTTGCTATTCGTAGAGTCCAAGTCCTCTCTGCTTCCATTAAAGACGACAATATGCCATGAGAAGAAAACGGCCTCGCCCGGAAACACATTACTGTCAATCTATTCATTGGACTTAGTTCGTACATTTAGGGCTTGAGAAAGGTACGACCCATTGAGAGGAAAAAGAGTAAAAGATTTTCTTTTAGACCTGCGCGACTCTGAAAGCCCACCCTTGCGCAAATCGAATGATTCTTTTCTTCTAATCTGACAAAACACACTACGAGTGTTAATTGATTTCAAGATAAAAGGAAGACGACCCTTGAGCCGTGAGAGCATGTGACATGGTGTAGTCGGCGAGTTTCTATAACATGACTTTCGACATGTCAATCAACCATGGTGTAATGTTCATGTCCATTTCACATGTGGTGGCATCCATTTTTCCAGATACAATGTCTATTTCTCCAGATATCGAGTTTATTTTTGTAGATACTGTGTCTATGTCTGTAGATACCGTGTCTATTTCTTCCATACAGATACCGTGTCCATTTCTCAACCCTGTCTATTTCTCCAACTATCTTGTCTATTTCTCTAGATACCTTGTCTATTGCTCTAGATACCGTGTCTATTTCTCTAGATACCTGTGTATTTCTCTAGATACCTTGTCTGTTTCTCCAGATACCGTGTCCATTTCTCAACCTTGTCTATTTCTCCAACTATCTTGTCTATTTCTCTAGATACCGTGTCTATTTCTCTAGATACCTGTGTATTTCTCTAGATACCTGTGTATTTCTCTAGATACCGTGTCTATTTCTCTAGATACTTGTCTATTTCTCTAGACACTGTGTCTATTTCTCAAGACACCTTGTCTATTTCTATAGATACCATGTCTATGTCTCTAGATACCTTGTCTATTTCTCTAGATACCTTGTCTGTTTTTCCAGATACCGTGTCTATTTCTCTAGATACCGAGCGTAATTCTGTCGATACCGTATCTATTTCTGTAGATACCGCCTCTCTTTCTCCAGATACCATGTCTATGTCTCCAGATATAGTGTCCATTTCTCTAGATACTGTATCTATTTCTCTACCGCGTCTATTGCTCTAGATACCGTGTCTATTTCTCTTGATACCGTGTCTATTGCTATAGATACCGTGTCTATTTCTCTTGATACCGTGCAGATACCCCCACTCATAGACTCCCATATTTTGAGGTGATGCTTTTCGTTTCAAGTTCATTCATTCCAACTTTATATTCCATTCGGTAAAACACAAATAATATTACTATTACTAGATAAAGCAAGTGTTCCAAGATTTCAGTCATGTCAATCAATATAAGTCAAAGAACTTTCCACATAGTGTTTGTGTCACCAAAAGAATTATCCATCCGGTGTTTGTGTCGCCCAATACCGTTTCGTGTCAATTGTAAGTTAGAACATCACACGCTGGTGCTAAACGGTGACGTCGACAACGTCACATCTACCTGTAAGACAACAAATCTTATGAATAAGAACATCACACCGACACTGCCTCATAAAACAACGGTTCTGGGAATCGGAACGGGCTACGAAAACACTCCACTACTTCCACGCGATCTCGCTGATAATGAACTACAAGCGTTCGATGTTCGCTGCCCCACTGTGCCCGGAGACTGCCAGATTTGGGGGACCCTACCGGAATCCTCCCACCCTCTACCCCACCCAGCGGGGTTCTCATAACATAGGCTTTCGCTACGGAGTTCCTATTTAGAAAGCGAGAATGGTATTCTGCTTGTTGTAAACACAGGATTGAGACAATCAATCTAAACATTTTTTATCATCATGTGAAAATGGCATAAGGGTGTTTGTTACACGATTTCTTCATTTTCTATAATATTTTCAAAAACTTATTTTCATTTAAAATTGAATTATGGATCAATTGTGAAAAACATATGTCCGCTATATATTTTATTATTTTCAGTGTTTTGATATGGTGTTTCTATTTCAAATGTAAACAGTACATTGTTTTGAAAAAAAGACCATGTTTTTATTTCCATTTTTTGAGGATCTGTACATCGGAAACATTCTTTGAGGATGGTGTAGATTTAATTGACAATTTCTTAAATTTGAAATTTCATTTGATACGCTCTTGAATCTATAATCGTACGTCTAAATCCATTTCGGACCTGTCAGCAATATTTAAAAATCATGTACGTTTCATATATTTAGCTAGTCTTTCCAATGAAATACAATTTGAAGCAACATATATATAACAACCTTACACGTCCATCAGTACGTAAATTACATATGTATGCTTTCTCTGATGTTAAAGTTGGAATAAAATATGATTAATTGATTGTATAAATACGCATTTTTAATTCTTCAGTTTTACTTCTTTTTTGTTGCAGACTGAAGGGGATATCTGCTTTGGCTGTGGCGACGTAATAGCAGATAGGTATCTGTTGCGCGTGAGCGGGAGATCGTGGCACGTGCAGTGTCTCAGATGTTGTGTGTGTCAAACACAGCTGGAGAGACAATCGACGTGTTTTATCAAAGAGGATAACATCTACTGCCGAGTTGATTACACAAGGTAAATACATCTTATCTTGGATACACTATACTTTCTTAAAAGATATTCTAACGTGTGGCATACGGTAAAACGGGGAGACACAAGTTGCAACATGACACTGGCAATACAAGTGCAGATGCAGCATTTTTTATTTATTTATTTATTTATTTTATTTTTTATTTTTGTTTGTGTGTGTGTGTGTGTGTGTGTGTGTGTGTGTGTGTGTGTGTGTGTGTGTGTGTGTGTGTGTGTGTGTGTGTGTGTGTGTGTGTGTACGAGGTATGGGTTGAGGTGCACATAAATCTTGAAGTCCATTGGTTAGGATAAAATGCTCTAGATCCGTCCCAATATTCGTAATATGTATCGTTGCACGTTGTGGAATGTAAGTCTAATTTATCAATTTGTATGAGTGTAGAATAGTCATATATATTTAAATATACCGTGAGTGAAAAGATACGTGGTTGCTTAAACCTGAGTTATTCTTAACCTATTTGAGTTACTTATATTAAAATTACTTTCTACATGAAGTGTTTTTAAACATTTTATTTCCTGTTATTTATTTCCTCCATGAAATAAAATTGACAATACCAAAAAAAAAAAAAAGATTTGTATAGAACATGGTGAAATGTGAAGTTTAACATTACGTTTTTAAACTCATCTCTCAGAGATTGTCATGCGGCGTCATAGTAAGCAATTGGGATGTAAATATATAAGAAACAGATTGTAATATTTTATTATATAGGGATTCATTTATCCCGAATTCTATTTCGATGAGGAAGTGTTCTGGAGATAAACAACGTTTTAAGTGCGACGCGAACATCAGTTGAAAGTGATATAGGTTCACGAAATTCGTTACGGCTATCCTGAGATGCACGTGCATGTGAGAAGCGACCCCTTGTGGCAGGTCAAGCATTATCTAATCGTACAGAAAATCGTGCAGTCAGCACAGATTGTAGTTATGAATTTCATTTATTCCTCAAATTAGACGCAATTGACTTTGTTAGCATGTCGATCGCCCGAAGCGGGTTCTATGAATACCGAAACCGGACGATCGATCGAGAACTAATTGCGCGGGAAAATTAGCAAGGTTACAGACGACATTTTTGATCGGAGAAGATCTTGAAGAAAATTGGAGGAACGTTCTTTGATACTTCGTCGTCCTTTTCAATTAGGGGTTCAAATATCGCATCACGTGGTAGGAATAGGATTACGATCTTTTATTGCCCCATAGAAGGTGAACGAGGGTGTGAGCGTACCCTCAAAAGAACTCCTCACAGAGACCAAAGTGCTCAACGGCTTGTTCTACTATTGTTGCATTTTTGCAATAATTCGCCTGGAGTTTTGAGGGCTTTTGGGTAATGTTACAAATTTGTCGGTCAAAGGTGTTGTCAAATTGTCATTTTCTTTCATTCGTTACTAATAGTCTATAAATAAATGGGTTAGCTAGATCCCAATGAGGAGCTTCCATGAAATTCGAAGTGGCGTTCCTTCAGACCTCCGACAGAGAGGTCAAGTCTTCACTAAATTGTTATGTAGTCGCAATACAAAGACGACGATTCAATAAAGAACACACAGCGGTGTTATTCTAGCACTAGGGGACACTAATTTGACCGTAATTTCACATGAATAACAAACGCTCTCGCTGCCTGCAAATGCTAATGGTTAATGTCGCGGGTGAAGTTTTATTGACTTGTCCGATCATTGCAGGTTTACAGGACATGTGAACGTGAAGCATATGAAGTTTATTTTCCAGCGTGTATGGAAATAATTAAAAACGATAAATAAATAAATAAAATAAATAATAAAAAATAAAAGAATTAAAATAACAAAAACTATAAATAAATTAAAAAAAAAAAACCATTGATCTATTTCCATCGTGTACATGCTATTGTAAATTCACCCTGTCTTGTATATTTTATGTAGATATTAGAATTAAATTGATATTATAATCAAATAATCTGTCTTGTATATTTTGGGTGAATGTTAAAATACATATACTTGAATCTGCCTTGCTGATTTTTTATAATAAAAAATAAAGGACGAAATAAGTTTACAAAATCATTATCTATGTACGAAACCATTGCAAAATTGTTTTGTTTTTCAGAGAGTTCGGCGCCAAGTGTGCAAAATGTCTGCGTCATATACAGCCCAATGACTGGGTACGAAGAGCTCGTTCACATGTCTATCACCTGGCATGTTTTGCCTGTGACAGCTGTAAACGTCAACTGTCTACGGGAGAGGAATTCGCCCTCCAGGACAACCGAGTCCTCTGTAAGACACATTACGTGGAGATGCTGGAAGGAGGTCCGTCTAAAGGTGAGAAAATGATTACAATATCACAGGTTTGTAAAGTCTAGACCTGAGGAGAGGTGAGGTGAAATTGGGTTTAACGTCGTGCTTTAGAATATTTCGCTCATATGACGACGTGCATGCGTGTGTATGTGTATGTGTGCGGCTGCTTGTACTAGCCCAGACTTCAGCTGGTTTTATAGTGCTAGCCCACTGAGATACCATACCGCAGTTAAGCATGAATACCCCACTCAGACACATTATACTAACTTCGAGCCGACCAGTCCTTGTTGTACCCATTAATGCCGAGCGCCAGGCAGGGACCAACAAGTACCATATTTTAACGTCTTTTGGTATGACGCGGCCGGAGATCGAACCCGCGACCTTCCGCTCTCCGGGCGGACGCTCTAACCACTACACCACGGAGGCGCTAAGTCTAGAGCTGATAGTTCAGTGACCTGATACTTCATGAACATCGAAATACGCAATTGGGAACCGATGACATGAGTCAACCAAGTCAGTGAGCCTGACCACCCGATCCCGTTAGTCGCCTCTTGACGAGGGTTGCTGAAGAATAATTTCAACCCGGATCTTCACGGGTAACAATGTCCTTTGACAAAGTGACTATTGACAGAGTTGGCGTTCTATTCAGTGCTGGAGAACGGGTGATTTACTCGCCAAAAGCATGTGTCAGGATCCTTGATCGTTGGTTCGAATCCTGAACATGATTATCTGTTTGTCAAGAAAAACTGATTTAGTAACCAATTAATCGTGAATGCCCTGAATCATTTCGAGCATCCAATTCATATTTAGGGGACACGCCGATAACCGATAACAAATAAACAGTTTGAAGCGGGATACATATTCTAGTCCTTTATGGGAAGGCGGGGTGGCCAAGCAGTTCAAGCTTTCTCTCGAAGGCCCAACCCATTCCTGGTGCCCTCCTCGTGATATTTGATATTTTTTTTTTAATGTTCGATTCTCCAAACGGGTACAATGTGTGAAGCCCATTCCTGGCGCCCCCCACCGTGATATTGATGGAATATTGCTAAAAGCGGCGTAAAACCTGACTCACTCAAATCCTTCTAAAATCGTTATTAAGCGTTTTTGTTCGAACAGTTGATTTCAATTTGTAGAAAAAGAATATAAAAAAGATAGCAAACGTAGTATGCAGCAAGGCGTTAAAAGACGCCTTCAGCTGGATGTAACGTACATTTTCAGACAAATTGGTTTATGGCTGAATAAATGCCGATTCCACGTTAAATTTCAACTCACTCACATTTTAATACCAATCTTTTACAGATTTTACATTTTCGCCATATTTTCTCAGATTTTACATTTTCGTCATATTTTCACAGATTCAGACAGCAGCCAAAAAACAAAGACGAAGCGAGTGCGGACCACATTCACCGAGAACAGGTCCAAGTCCTTCAGGCCAATTTCCAACTGGACAGCAACCCTGATGGTCAAGATCTCGAGAGAATCGCACAAATCACAGGACTCAGTAAACGTGTGACGCAAGTGTGGTTTCAAAATTCCAGAGCGAGGCAGAAGAAGTATCAACAGCAACAACAGAAGGGAGATAACTCTTCCGGAAGTATCAGTCCACGTGACACGCTGACGATCATAACGGGCCAGCATAGTAAGTAATTTTGACGTTAGGATGTGGTTTTCACTAATTTTCTAATTATCAGTTATACTGACGGACAAAAGAAAGTTTACATCCATACTTGATTGTCTTTAAAATGATTCAAGAAAGTGGTTGTTAGATGGTGATCATATCATAGATGTAAACAAACTTGTGACGCTTCCAGCTTTGAAATCTTGACCGAAAAATATCCGTCTCGAACAAACTCCCCCAACCTTCTTCCCTTTTGTTCTTCATAAATGCTTCAAAATTAAGTGAGATATGGATTGGTAAAATGAAGCCGTCGCGCCCATTGATTGCTTTCTTTTTCATTTCTACTTTTTGCGTCAACTATTTGTCCTTCTACCATCTAATCCATTTCTATCAATAGTGTCCACTTTCTTTTGTATTTGAATTTCACTATCCTTTGTTCTCACTCTCGTTCGTTGACATCCAAATAAGTCAAACACCCTTGTGTCGAAGTTGTGTCGAGGCCAAAGTAAATACTTCGAGTTATCCGATGTTCGACCCAACCACAATATGCCTTAAGAATACAGAGGGAAGTTATTGCTTAGACATAACCGCAAATTGACTTCAGAATACAGATGGAAGTATTACTTCGAGACAAATGTATGTTCGATACATCAGAGTTCGACACAACGATGTTTGATTTTACCTGTCTTCAAATCATCCATATGCATCAACTAATGTTTTTCTTCTCCACTTCCTCCAGGTCCACAATGGTCCAGCGGCGAAGAGTGTGGATCCAGCAGCGGTCTTTCCTTCATGGAGTGATGTCATCGTCACCTAAAATGACTTATGGGTATACGTGCAATATGTAGATCTACCTACACAAAGTGCTGCCATGGCAACGGGAGGGATGTGCTGAGTTATAAGTGCTCTGTGATCAGTAAGAGACATGAACCGGGTTCTAACTGAAGTTGAAATTTGGACAACAAATGTATGCACGTGCTTTGCCCTGAAGGTCACCATGACCTTTCTTGACCTGCTGAAGACAACCAACGGGACCTTTTTCTGCCATGTTAAACTAATTGAAATATCACATGAAAATATTCAAAAGAGGAGTTTCATGGACTTTTGAACATGTCTGTTATTTCTGGTGCTTGTTAATTATCTCAATGCTGTATTTGTTAATGTTAGTTATCGTGTCCAATGTATATTTGTACATAACAGCCATATGTATATAAGATAGATATTTATTATAACTCCTGCAAGATCGTAGTTTGTCGTGATCGATTGTGTTACAATACCGTCGCTCTGGTTCGATTAAAAATCGATCAGTTGAGATGGCGGGTGTGTATTTACTGAGTTCTGTTTGCCAAGTCGCTTTGTGAACATGAAACTAAAAGTTACAAGAATTACACGTCATTCTTTATCAAATATAACGGTTTCTGTTGTGTTTTCTAGTCTCTGAAAGGTATCGTTGGGTAGCTTAGTGGGTAAAGGGATCGCTCGCAACACAGAAGGCCTTGTTACGATTTGCCTCATTGGAACATGGAACCGTATTTTTTGTGAAACCATATGATTGGAAATTGCTGGGATGTCGATAAATGCGGAGTAAGTTAACACTCACTGTTCCAGCAATATCACAAAGGGAGGAAATAGGCTTCACCGATAGTACCCTTTAGGGGAATCGAACCCGAGTCTTTGGCGTGACGAGCGAACGCTTTAACCATTAGGCTACGTCACCGCCACTGGTACATGCGTGAACGCATGGGTATATTGGGAAACCCAATAGATGCAACATTTCCAATGTATTTTTGAGCGAAAGGTTTATTCTTTTAGTAAAATTACAGTAACAACTGCCCAGTATATCGTTAATCTGTCTCCCAGACCAACAGAATATATCTATGAAGGAGTCCAGTTCAAGTCTAGAATGATGGTGAAAACCTGGATTTCCGTATCTCTGAAAAGCAGAATTGTTCTCGGCTCTTTTGGGATGTTATTTATTTGCTATATTTTGGATATACATTTTGAAATAAGATCCCTTTGGGCTATATGTCACTCTAGTTTCAGGATCTAGTTTCAGCTCCCCAAGATCCACATATAAGGTAGAATTACTAGGACTGCACACTAGTGGTGTTCCGATTAATTGAAATAATCGAAGATTGGTCGCAGTGACCAAACGACCAAGCAATCGATCACATTTTCTCATAATCGATATTAAACGATTTTGGAACTACTGTTTTAGTCTTTGCAACACTTGAAAATGAACATATCTTAGAAGTTGTCAGGCCTGAAAACGTGTTTAATTCTTAGAAAACTGACTTCACTAACTGAAAAGTCATGACTGAATATTTCTCTAAGACTCCAGGAAGTTTATGTCCATGATATATTAGTCATCACTTTAAAGTAGCAAGTTGCATCATGTTATACATATCAGCAATAACAACTTGGATAGGAAAATCTGAAAAATGACGCTAACCAATTTTTTTCGATGATTGTTCGTTGGTTATGAAGCAATCATCAATTGTGAGATTTCAACCAATTCCCAACACTAGTGCACAGTATTACCGGTATACTGCAATACGCTTTTCAAACGATACGTATTTTTTCTGAGAACCGGTATATTGAGTAAAGAACATCTATGAAGTTTTTTGTGATTATCTTTATGGTTTGGATTAAAATCTACAGAGACTTTCATTCACAACAGCTGTTTTCCTTTGTTATTCAATAACAAAACGGCACAGTGTAAGACTATGAATTGTATAAAAAACCACACTAGAATCCCTGACTATGCATCCTAATTTTGAGATTGCTGTGATCAGAACCATGACATATATTTTTAGGGACTTTTAATGTAGAAATTAGGATCAACATGTACAATTAGTGTCACTTACTGTCAAACACCTGAGTTCCCAATACATATCGCAATATGTGTATTTGCCAATACACAGTCCTAAGAATTACGTCATCAGGGAACGTTTCATTCTATTCCATTCCGTTCCATTCTATTCCATTCCATTCCGTTCCTTTCTATTCTAGTCCATTCTATTCCGTTCCATTCTATTCTATTCCGTTCCATTCTATTCCATTCCGTTCCATTCTTTTCCATTCCGTTCCATTCTATTCCATTCTATTCCATTCCGTTCCATTCTATTCGACTCATACGGGGCGGAACAATGACATTTGGCAATGATAAATTATTTCTGATATTCTAAGAATGAATATCCTGCCAAATATACATGTTTAGGAATGAGAAGCATTGGCATAAACTGCAGCAAAATGAATTCAGTTATGTTCATATTTAAAGTGCGTAAATCTTTATGAGTGAGTGAGTGAGTTGGGTTTTACGCCGTTTTAAGCAATATTCCAGCAATATCACAGCGGGGGAATACCAGAAATGGGGCAAATCTTTATGAATCTAGTCAGAAACCACAAGACACTTCATAGAATATGTAGGACGATAATGAAAATAGAGTTTTAGATATAAAAATAAACTACTCTGCAGCTGATGAAGATGTTCGTGCAATATCTTAGTAATGATACACGTGAAATTGATACTTTGAGATAAGTTTACACTTTACAATCAAGTTAATCCTACATCATGACATGTTGAACAATAAGGAACATTTTGTTGCCTAAAGGTTCAAAACCACATCGTCAAAAAGTAAATTGATTTATCTGAGTTATTTGTGCATTATCATAAATTTCATCATGGAGCAATGCTGATTTCCGTCATGTTTACGTTGCATTTTGTCTCCCAATTTAAAAAATATGTTGACGTTTATTTCAATCTATTTATAACGAAATGATATATTTATGATTGGAAATCATTAGATTATCTTTAGATGATCACATGATTATCCTTTTCAGATGATAATATGATCATCCCAAGATTGTATCCTTAGATAAGTTTTCTCAAATGCTATCCATATATGGTCACGCTGTTCCCATGCGAATGTCCCCTGATATCTGTATATGATTATTGTTATTGCTATACGTTGAATAACGCCGTGAGCGTGAACATGAACGTGTACAACATTGCTGAAACCAACATTCACTGGTTTGTTAGCAACAACAAATAAGGGATTCGACCTGATATTGTTTAGATGTTCATGATATCGATCACAGGTTTGTATCAGATCCATGCATGGACACTCGTGAATATCTGAACTTTGCGAAATTGATTAGGCGATTAGATTCTACTGTTTGAAACATTTCTTTCCGAAATATAGGCACACTGTAAAGCTAAAAGATTACATTCATCTACAGTAGCAAGAAACATTGTGTATAGGGAAAGCGCCAGTTATTTATGTATTGTGTTATAGTGTGTGTGTGTGTGTGTGTGTGTGTGTGTGTGTGTGTGTGTGTGTGTGTGTGCTACTTTTGTACACACACACTAGCATTTCATTTCCATTTTTTGAACTAAGAGATTTGAAGCCCCATTAACAAGAGAGGTTTTACTTGATTTCTTGGGGCTCACTGCAACATTTGTAAGATGAATGACATGTTTCAGTATATCTTTCTCTCAAGTTGTAAAAAAAGAAATACAAACAGTACTTACTGTAGTGGCTTGTCAATTTTCACCAATATTCAAATAAATTACGAATAATTACAAACAATTTCAATTCACTGTTAAAGATTTTGAAATTAAAAATGAGAAAATGTCGCACTTTTCATCAGCGTTCAAGATAGGATTTCAAATGAGGTGAGGTGAGGTTGTATTTTTCGTCGCGGTCAAGATTATTCCGACCCTACAGCGCCGTGGACGCATGAGTGTCTGGCTGCTTGTAGTCGTACAAAATAATGTTGGTCTTATATATAGGTCGAGTCCACCAGTCCTTGTTTTAATCCCCGAGCGTAAGACAGGACAATAACTATCAAATATATCTTAAAAGAACGTCGGGTGTTTAAATTTCAAAACGTGTTCTAAAATCCCGTCAGTAGAAACACGCCTGAGTTAAAACAACGTGATTTTTGGTTCTAAGATGCGGAGACATGTCGGCATGCCGTGAACAGAAGCATCTTCATTCCAGCCTCTGAAGCCGTGAGATCGATCAATATCTTGTGCAGGTTGAGTTGACATCACGAAACCTAAGAGGCTTGAAGCATGAATATATATCTCTGAACAGATATGCGGTAAATCAACATGTGTTAACACAGACTGACAAACATGTTTTTAGCATCTCACACAATTGTTTGCTGAATGTGTTTTGTCAATAGGAATTTGATCAAATCTATGATAAAGCAAAGGCTAGAGAATCAGTTTCTTTCCGCTACAGATACATCTTTGATGATATATGCTAATGGAATAAATAACTAAAGTAATTAAAGTAAAATTAAACTGCGTTCATTCTGAAATTAAATAATACAATTTTCAATACGTATTTCATCCGTGAAAATCCGGATTAGAATTGATCTTCAGTAACCCATGCTTGTCGTAACAGGCATCTAACGGGATCAGGTGGTCTGGCTCGCTGACTTGGTTGACACATGTCATCGCATCCCAATTGGGTAGATCGATGCCCATGCCGTTGATCACTGGATTATCTGGTCCAGACTCGATATTTACAGGCCTCAGCCATATAGATGGAATATTGCTGAGTGCGGCGTAAAACTAAACTTACTCACTCAATCTTAAACGGAACGTTACTTCAGTAAATCAACACATGACTAAGTACATGACTCGGTAACCCTATTAATTCGGAAGGATAATACGGACGGTTGCCGTCCGGAATAATGAGGTTTGTTTGTATGAACGCTACATTTTTCCGTACAAAAACAATCAAAACTTTATATGACTCACGTTACATACATTGAGGTCAAACTGT